GCTCTCGTCCCTTCACTGCAGCCAGGGCTGTGTCACCTCCGCGACCCCTCTCGTCCCCCAGGTCTTTGGCCAACAACAACCTGCAGACGCTGCCCCGGGACATCTTCAAGCCCCTGGACATCCTGAGTGACCTGTAAGGCTGCTACGGCACTGGGGACCCCCGGGACACCGGGCTGGGGAGAAGGTGACATCCCGATGCTCGGGGTTCGGGCAGGGTGCTCTCCTCACTCTGGGCTGGGTGCTGGGTGCTGGGGGTGACTTGGTGCCATCCTTGGCAGGGACCTCCGGGGCAACGTGCTGGTCTGCGACTGCAAAATCAAGTGGCTGGTGGAGTGGCTGGAGAGCACCAACACCACGGTCCCCGCCGTCTTCTGCAGCAGCCCTTCGAGGGGCAGCGGATCCGGGATCTGGCACTCAGTGACTTCCAGTGCATCACCACGGGTAAGGGACCGTGGCCGTCCATCACCTCACTCCCAGCTACCCGGACCCTCACCATCACCTCTCCCCCCACAGATTTTGTGGTGCACCAGGTCCTGCCCTTCCAGTCGGTGTCGGCTGAGCCCTTCACCTACGCCAGCGACTTATACATCGCCCTGGCACAGCCCGGTGCCAGCAGCTGTGCCATCCTCAAGTGGGACTACGTGGAGCGCAAGCTACGTGACTTCGACCGCATCCCTGGTAAGGCACCCGGGCGGGGGTCCCCTCCTGGGTTGTCACCCTAATTTGGGGTGATTTGGGAACGGCACGGCCCTGGGGTGACACGGTCCTGCCCGGCAGCTCACTCGGCAGTGCACTGTAAGCCCATCGTGGCACAGAACCAGCTGTACGTGGTGGTGGCCCAGCTTTTCGGTGGCTCTTATATCTATCGCTGGGACACCGCCGTGGACAAGTTCATCAAGATCCAGGACATCGACAGCCAAAAGACTCGCAAACCCAATGACATCGAAGCCTTCCAAATCGAAGGCGACTGGTATTTTGTCATCGCCGACAGCTCCAAGGCGGGCTCCACCAGCCTCTACCGCCTCAACCAGAACGGTTTCTACTCCCACCAAGCCCTCCACGCTTGGCATCGCGACACCGACGTGGAATACGTGGAGAACGACGGCAAACCCCGGTTGATCATCTCCAGCAGTTCCCAAGCCCCCGTCATCTATCAGTGGAACCGGGCGCAAAAGCAATTCGTGCCCCAAGGAGAGGTGGGGGAGATGCTGGATGTGCAGATGGTGAAGCACTTCAGGGTGAAGAAGGACCAATTCCTCTGCCTCAGCCGCTACATCGGCGACTCCAAGGTGATGCGATGGGAAGGGCAACGCTTCATCGAGCTCCAGACGCTCCCGTCCCGCGGCTCCATGGTGATGCAACCCTTCTCGGTAGAACAACGGCAATACCTGGCCCTGGGAAGTGACTTTTCCTTTACCCACGTCTACCTGTGGGAAGAGGAAAAGCAGAAATTCATCAAATTTCAGGAGCTGTCGGTGCAGGCACCGCGGGCTTTCCGTTACGTGCCGGCTGCTGATGTGCAGCTCCTCTTGGCTCCCAGTTTCAAGGCCAACACGCTGGTCTACCGGCACGTGGTGGTGGACCTCAGCCTCTAGAAAGGAGGTAGAGCCCGGGATGCTCGCACGGTCCCGACGTGGCTCTCATCTCCCTCGAGAGCTGCCTGCTCCCGCCCAAGGACACGCATGCGCCCGCCAGCCCCTTCCTCCTGCCTGCAGCAACCCGCTGCCAGCCCCCCCATGTTCGCCCACCCCTCAAATTGCCCCCAGGGCAGTGCCCAGCCCCACAACCATGGGCTTCAGTTTCCCCCCACCCCGGTACTCTCGGTTTCCCCATGTGCAGCACCCACAGCCTGAGGGGTGTGGGCAGGAGGGTGGGACCCCCTCGCCCTGCAGATCGAGGCCCTTGGGAG